TTTGGAGTTTGTACGTGCTTTGTCTCTAGGGGCCACCGTAGGGTTAGTGAGTGCTGAGTGATTCGCTTACGCTAAGATTCACACAGTAAAGGAGGGGGTGAGTAGCTCAAATGTGCTGTTAGCATGTTAGCAGAGCGATGCTACCCAGTTCAGAGCAGAAATATTTTTGTTAAGATACTGGATGTTGTGTTTTTTTCCACAATTTTAATTATAAGCTAGATATATTTCTACTAATGAAATTAGTTTGCTAACAGCAACAGGGATGAGTCAGTGAGTCAGTTGGGCATGTGAATCATGATTCATTAGTCAGTGAAGTGATTCTCGAGTATTGAACGATTCGTTCATGATTCGTGCATCACTATTTTCAACAACAACATGGGAATTTCAGATTTCACACAGGTGGTTGGATGTTACACTCTGGAAATGGAATGATGGTGAGTGTTATTAACCCTCTGTGGTCCACGGACACGCTGCACCTCCAAATCACATGACTGATTTAAACAGACACAGCAACAAGCTGCAGCCACGCTGAGTCTCTATTTCAGCCCATATTGAAAGTTTTTAAAGTTTAATTACAGCCCAGTAAATCCAGAGTTATGATAATATATATAAGCCACATACACACATGTGTATGTGGTTTTTGTTAAAGTGTTTTCTAAGGACAGCGCAAAAACAGTAAAGAAAGAAAAAAAAGCCACCTCTTTCGTGTCGGTGGAAAAATGTACCATGTCGACCAATTTTTAAAAAAGTCAACAGGTGGGATTTGGTTGTTTAGGAAGAGGGAAAAGTTTTGGAAGTGACGGTAATGGCAGCGAGACAGAGCGAGCGAGCGGATGCGAGAGAGAGAGTTTAGATGTGGGAGATTTGTGATGTTTAGTGTGGAGTGTATAGTTAGTGTGTTGTGTTGTCTTGTGTAGTTGTTCTGTTGTGTAGTTGTTGTTTTGTTTTGTGTGCCAGTGAGGGCACTAATGAATGTCACAAAGGCATATTGCATTGTAAACACTGTCACTAAGTAGAAACCAGCGGAGTAATACACCTCCTGTTGTCAGGCCTGCAGGTTTATCCCTGTGCTGTTCTCCTCTGTCTTCTGGTGGAAAAACATTTTTTTTACTGACACACATAATTTGCGACACCTGATTGTTCTCTCATTTTAGTTTTAGTAATATTTTTAAATGGTTGTACAAAATGAAAAAAAAAACGGCCGGTGTATTGGCTGCATTTTTAGATAAATAGTTGTATATGTTTATAAAATGTACAATTTATATTTACATTTCAAGTTATAAAAATTTGCTCAACATATCTGTGGTTTTTTTTACAGTAAAAAAATACTACTAGTGTGGAGGTATGTAATAACGACAGGAGAGGTCTCAGTGTCTCACTCCAACTTTATTAACTGACTCTCAGAACTTCACATATAGTAAGCGCCAAAATCTCCACCCCAGCACTTCCCTTCAACTTGGGTGTGAGTGGAGCCACCTGGTGGTCCGCCACACTAGGATTTTAAGTTCTTTTTGTGATTTCAGATCAGTAATACTAATGCAGTACGTCAGTGAAAAAAACAACTAAATTCAGTTGAGCTGAAAAGAATGATACCAAACAAGGCAAGGGGAAAAAATAAAATGAAACAATTTGAGGGTGAAATACAAACGTAAACTCAAAAGGAGTCAAAAATGGCCGGTTGTATTTCAGACCTCAGTGGGTTAATCCAACAAATCATGAAAAATTAGGTTTAAATTTTTGTTCATGACAGTGCAGATTTCTGACATTTTGTGTAATTTAAGCATGTAACAATGTGATTGTTTTCTAACAAAAAACAGTGTGAAACTTAAGTTAGACTTGTGTTTGTAAATGAACCGCCCCATGTTGTGTAGCTTTCTGGATTTTATACTTATTGGGCTACATATTTATTTATTATACAGGCTATACAGTACATAAATCAAAACTCACATGTTTTATGTAACTAAAGTGTGTTAATTATGTGGGCTACAGACAATAATTAAGTTATAGACTATATTTATATGAAAAACACTGTATACTTACTGCATTTTAATCATTATAACCATATGTAACCACCTGCATATGTGTGTGGAGAAAAAAAAAAGACTTTGATTTTGCCACCCTATTTGATTTCTTTTCCACCCTCATGCCACCCTAAGAAAATTTCTCTAGATCTGCCCCAAAGTAAAGCAGCAAATTTTGATATACAGTGGTCCCTCGCTATAACGCGGTTCACCTTTCGTGGCCTCACTGTTTCGCAGATTTTTTTTGTGCAATTTTGCATGGTGGGGTTTTTTTGGGGGTTTTTTTTTGTTTGTTTGTTTCTTTAAACAGCACATTGTGTTGTGCATCCTGATTGGCTGTAGACCACTGTCAATCAATCTCGTGCCTCCTGTACAGTAAAGAATGCGTTCAGCTTGTCAAATTTGTAGTGTTTTTTTGTACGTTTTCTCCCCAACAAACACAACAATGTCGACGAAACGTTTTGCACCGGTTTCATTCTATTATAATGGACTTATTTTTCTATGAAGGTTTGAACTTGAAACAAGAGAGAAGTGTGAAAATGTTCATGCCTGTCTGAGAAAACTGTACAAACAAATATTGTAAAACAACAGCTACAAATTTATCTTACAGCTGTAGGAAAAGTAACTTGATGAATCAAGCCTCAAATGGTTGAGTTCCTGTTCGTGCTGTTCTAGTTAATTTAAGTTTACTGAAATTCATAAACTGACAAATGACATCATTAATTGTATGATGAAAAAGCCTCTGATTGACAGTTGATCCTTATCTGTTTCTAACCGACTCACTGTAGCTCCTCTTTGACTCCTTCAGCAGTGTTGGCTGAGACAACAAAGACATCCTTCATCTCCCCTCTTAGTATGTTACAGGAATAGCCAATGTTTTCTGCTGTCTCTGTTGAACAGTAAAATAATTTTCAATCAATAAATCTTAAATCTACAAAACAAAGCTTAAATAAGAAGAAACATAAAGTGACACTGACCTTGCTTATCTCCAGTTAACACCCAGATTTTGATGTCAGCTTTAGCCAGTTGCTCAATGGTCTGTGGTACACCATCTTGCAACTTGTCCTCCACAGCTGTCGCTCCCAACAGCTAAAGCCACAGATGTAGTTGTGATTTATACATTTATCACAAATTATGCTGGTTTCGCTGTGACATTAGTGCACAATCTAAAGCTGGGGTGTCAAACGAACCCAGGTGCCAGAATCAGCCTGGCAAATACTTTAATCTGGAAACAACTGTGGAAAAAGGATGAAAAGGATGGCATTCTGAAGGACATTCTGGGAAAACAAACCACCAGAATTCTTCTGTACCTTTACACATTCACGTCTTACAATTTAAGCTCAAAGATTTATACTGATAGATTTCTTTCATTTACTACAGAAGCATTTCTTATCATTGTAAATGACCATGGCAGACCCGATGGCATGAACATGATCTTCAGCATACTTTATTAACACTCACACGGTTGCTGTGCAAACACACACTGAGCTGCAGCTCTCCTGCTGCCAGCTCAACATTACCACAAAAACAACAGCATTTACCAGAACTCCTAACTTTTAAGCAGCTAGGCGTGATTGCAGATGCCACGCAGGTGGGTCAATCGCCCCTGCAGCAGTATCGCAAACCACACCCCGCCACAATCATGTAAGAAAATCTGAGGTGTTGAAATTGAACTTCTTTTTTTATTGTAAGATATCTCAAGGTAAAATGTATAGTTAAACTTATTAACATTGACTGGAGACAAGCAGAGTTTGACTGGTCCAGCCCATTTAAGATGAAATTGGGCTATATTTCCCCCCGATGTGAAATTAATTTGACATCCCTGGTACATATAATTTCTGGAAAACTATCAGTAGGTCATCAAGCAGCAAATTGGTCTGTCAGATGATCTAGCGATGTGACAAAGTTTTCAGCACATGTACTAACCATCATATCTTTCTCTATCTCTTCATAAAGTTCATCAAGTTTTTCTTCACGTCCCTCCATGGCAACACTGGCCTCATGTTGCCGATGTTTCCAATCTATCATGTAGGTCTTGTCTAAGTCCTTATATGCCAGAGCAAGTGTACGGAGGCCATCACCTGCATACTCCTGTTTTTGTTTGATAATCGAAAGAAGTCAAATGTTAAATTACATGAATTATATTAAAATTTCATTGATTTTAGCTTCAAGCTACTTTTATATGCTTTGGATCACTCACATTGAGGTGGTTAGTGGTTACTTCCATCAGTTTGTTACAGGAGGGGTGCAGTCTTTCAAAGATCATGGTGTCTGCACCTTTGCAGTATAGAGTCAGCTTCCCCTCTGGGCTGCGCACTGGAAGTGACAGGGAAAGTTAGAAAGTTTGACGTAATGCATGCAGAAATGAGAAATTGTCTATCTTCTGAATATACGAAGTATGGCCAAAATAAGTATGGTTGACACCTTATCTCACCTATCACTGACATCCTCTTCCTCACATTACTGAAGTCCAGAATGGCCAGAAGTTCGTAGATGACTTGTTTGCCCATCTCTACTACTGTGATGGTTTCTGGTGTGCGTGATCGGAACACAAATCCAAAGTTTCTTGCAGCAGTCACCAGAGCGCCTTCATCAGGTGACTGAGCCTGATAATTGAGCTCTCCTACCAGGTAAAACAGAGATGACAATTTAATTGGCATATAAGGGTAAAATTTGAACATTTGCATGGTGGAGCACATTTCCATGTACCTGTATGTCTTTTATTGCACTGAATTTGGAGTTTTTAAATAGACTCCAAGAATATTTCGAAATTCTCCTGAAATGTAAATGAAATGAAGATGTCTTTTAGAGGACCCCTCACCCTCTTTCTTTTCCTCAGGCATGACAGTGTGACACAGGGATAACAAGCGGAAGAACTCCTGAGTCTCAGGGTTTCCACTTCTCACCATCTCCACCAGACTGTGGTCATGAAAGCTGAACTTTGGATCAGCCAGATTGTTCCAGGAGAAGTCCACTCTCTCTGTCCTCTGCAAGAAAAGCCAAAACAACAAAGTTGGATCAATACTTTCTTTAAATAAGCTACACAATCATGCATTTTCCTCTCACCTCTGTAATTTCCACTCTTTCTCCAGAGAAGTCATAGAGGTCTCCTGAATATAAGATAAATGTACTGTAAAATGAATCATTTAAACAATGTTCATGTTTCCATTTGCCTCTGTGACAACTTTTTACAAAAGCAAAGCTGCTCACCGTAAGCTTTTCCATTAATGGAGCACTTGTTGAAAGTCATGATGTTCTGTGTCAGAGTGCCAGTCTTGTCACTGAAGATGTATTTAATCTGGCCTAGCTCCTCATTGAGTGTGGTGGTTCTTGCCTGAGCTGGAGTATCATTCTTAGGATAGTACATCTTCCTGTCCCAGTCTATTAAGAAGCTGTTTCCCAGACGAATGAACTCCACGCTAACAATGTAGCACAAATTGGTAAAATTTCAAAATGTGATACATATTAGCACAAGTCTCAAGTGTTCAAACCAACTTTGGTTGTTTTTTGGTTTCATCATTTTTCTGTGCTGAAACTTACCTGACATAAAGTGAACTGGGTATCACTGTGTTAAGGACAATGACATAAGACCAGAAGATGAGGAATGATGAGAGAGGAGCATCAATGCCCGGTTCACGAGGAAGAAACATAGTGAAGACAGAGCCCTCATTTGTTTCCCAGATTGCATTGCCAATGGTCAAAATGGAGCACATAGATGCCAGGAAACCAAAGATCTGATGGAATGAAAACATCAGACTTCTTGATTATTCAAACAATATTACTCTTGTCACTCAGGTGAAAAACAAATCACTGTCTTTAAGTTCTATATCTATAAGCTGAGACTTTGTGTGACTTTCTTTGTATTTGTGCTTGTGTAAACTCACACATAACACCAG